TCATTTTTTTGGATATTTATTTGTTCATTTTTCTTTGTGGTTTGGATTAAGATATAAGCTTTGTCTTCCAGATCAGAGATTCTTTCTTCTTTGTGGTCCAATCTGCTATTGCTGCTTTAAAGGGAGATTTTGATTTCTTGCATTGTATTCTTCATCTCCAGAAGTTCTGTTTGATTCTTTTCTAGGTTGCCAATCTCTACAGAATTCCTTCTTCATGACATGGAATGATTTTCTTATCTTCTGAAGGTGGTTTTCCATTTTCTCTTGCATCTCACTGAGTTTTACTACAATGAACATTCCGAATGCTATTTCTGTCATTTCTGTGATTTCTTGTGTTATTTTTTTCCGTTGTTGGTGAGGAGTTGCTATGTTCTTTTGAGAGAGATATACTTTCTAATTTTCTCCTATTTCTTGATGCTCTGCTTTGTTTTCTACCCATTTAGTGAGGTACTCACTTTTCTCTACTTATTTGGGGTAGATTTCTAGTGTAGTAAGCTTGTGCACTTCTCTGTGGTAAACTTTAGCTCCACAACAGTTCCCTTCTTATTCCTCAAATTTCCTAATTCTGATGTGGCTGAGCACTGACTTGAGGAAGCTGACCTTAAGATATCAGGAAGGTAGCACATTCCATGTATTACTTGGGCCTTACAAACATGCTCCTCTCTTGCTCTGGGAACCCAAAGGGCCTGGTCAGTGATGGAGACCCAGCCAACCTGCCCCAATTCCTTACTATCTCTCTTATAAAATTCTTTAAAAAGTTTGTTTATTTGTTTATTCAAGGAGCATTACACATGCACACATACACACACAGACACAGACACAGACACACACACACACAGAAAGAGAGAGAGCACTCTCAACAAATTCTTGACACCACCACCTACTCAGAGCCTTCAGCTATCCCCAGATCATGTACAAGTATGTTCTCTGGTATTCAGGGAGATCTATGAACTTAAATTGGGAACCTTCTCATGTTCTGAGATTGCCTCATAGAATGTCATGTTTTACTGCTGCACCACCATATATGATCCTTGCTTTCATTATAAAAAGTACCAGACCATTCCCAGATTTCAGTGCCTACAGGGAGTTCTGAAACAGTCCTTCTCCCTATAAATACCAAGGGATGATTGTAATATATTTTAAAAGCCTAAAACATACATATATGTAATACACTTGCCAGTATAGGACAAGGGAAGTAGGTAGGAACAAAGTTTAATTAGGCTAAAGAAATGACTCCATATGATAACTTATATCCAACAAAACAAAGAATATCAGAAATAAGAAAGTTAATATGAAAATAAATATAAATGTATCCTTGATCGACATCCTTTCGGATTCCTCAATATCTTGATAATTTTTAGCATTAATATATATGTGTATATATATATATATATATATGTTTACTTAACAATAAAATCA